TCTCATTTTCTTTTCTAGCTGTACTGAATCTTTCCTAATCAAATTTTTTCATTATTTGAAATTTTATGTGAAATAACCCATTTATTCCAAACCATGTTACTTACTCTATTTGTAATTCTATTTGAAATACCCTCTTTAGCTTTATGTTGAATTGGAAAATTGTAATTTTAGTTATGGTGTATTTTGAGAAGCCCCAAGGACTCAAGAAATCAGCCAGTGGAAAACTTTATCTTTCATGAAATGTTTCCCAGTGTGGGGCAGAGGCTGTCAGGTGTAAGGAGTGAGGGTGAAGTTGTCTGCCATCTGCAAGCAGAGCTTGAGGAAGTCTCTTGATCCTGTGGCTTTTTTTTTTTTTTTTTTTAATTTTTTTTTTTTTTTTTTAATATGTTTTTATTGATTTCAGAGAGGAGGGGAGAGGGAGAGAGCTATAGAAACATCGACGAGAGAGAATCATTGCTCAGCTGCCTCCTTCATGCCACCTACTGGGGATCAAGCCCACAACTCTGGCCATGTGCCCTCACCGGGAATCGAACCGTGACCTCCGGGTTCATAGGTTGATATCGGCCATTGAGCCACACTAGCTGGGTGAGCCTGTGGCTTTTGAAACTGCTTGAGGAAGCCAAAGGGGCAAATTAGTGGGGGTAAGGGTAGAGATGGAGAGTTAAAATTATATTTGGAAGAGCTTGAATAAATGCCTTTCTACTAAAATAAATGTCAAGCCACAGTGCCCCAATAGACAATCGTAGCGGCATAGACTGTACCTGCCACTGGGCTAATTTCTCCTATCTCGACCTTAAATTAGGGCCAGATAATCCTTGTCAAGTACGATGAAATCTTAACATTGAGACTTGTGGGGTGGGGAGACAATTTGAAAGGAAGAAAGCAGGAAAGGTGTTGCACTTTCTTAGTGGGTCTTCCCCCCATTGTGAGGTAAGTTGGGGTCAGTGCCCTCATAGCTTACACAGAGCTTCCAGTAACTAGAGGCTGCAGTAACCCACAAGTGCTGCTGGTGACATTGGTGCCGAAATGCATTTTCATGCTGTGCAGACACGTATACTCTCCAGTAGCTGCATCACTACCAGAAGCAGGCTTTGGAAAGAGAAGTGATATGCCTCCTCCCCCTACCATGCCTACTTTGAAGATAGTGGTGGGAAAGAGTTACTCTGGACCTAGACGGAAAGTCACACTGAAGGGGGGGAGGGTGCTCCCTGGAGGGCACATTACAAACAAAGCCTTATCCTTGGGTGCTAGAGGACCACTTGTGCCTTCAGGTGAGCCTTCCTAGGACAGAAGAGGAGGTGGGCACTTGTCATTTTTGTCATTGTTGTGCTTGGTTGGTTTTTCCCCAATGCTTTGTTTCTAGGAGGAAGGAGTTGCAAAAACATGCAGAAGGAGTTTTCAGTATTTGTCACAAAGAAAAATAGCTTTTTTTTTCCAGTAGCAGGTTAAGATTACAAAAAGAACAGAAGGTGGGGGAGGACAACAGGAGCTGTGTCAATAAGGACCCTTGAGTTAATAAAACTACAAGAAGCCTTATTGGGGACCTAGAGACTTTGGTGGTGTTACTCTCACTTAAACCCAGATGCATGTTTGTAGGCTTGTCTGTTTTTTAGCACTTTCTGTATATAAATGTTTGCCATTCCTGCCGGGCTTTGAAACTCAGGCTGAAATGGGATAGTTAATCCAACTCTCTTGCCTCAGACACAGTAAATTCAGGCCTCCTGGTCAGTAGCACAGGGCCTCAATAGTGCCAGGAGAGGTGTCAAAAAAGTCACCGTTCCAGATGGTTTCCATGATATGGTTACCCATGCAAGCCCCGGGGAACCCAGTCATGAGCAGGAATATCAAAATGCTCCTGTCCAACCCTCTTACCTCACAGAAGACAATTAGAAATGGTCGTCATGACCAGCTTCATTGTAGAAATCTTCTCCTCAAAGACTATTTGGCTGTTAATACTCTTGTGACAGTATATATTTGTTAATTTAGACCAGTAAAATTAAATTACAGACTTTGTAACAGTTTAATGAAATTTAAAAACCTTGCCAAAATACACATCAGCAGTATCAGTACAGTGGTGCTAGCTGTACTGCATGGAGGCTTTGGTTAAACTAGTCTACTGCTGTATGGTTGCCACTAGCTATGTGTTAGTATTTAAATTAAAGTTAATTAATATTAGATAACATTTAGTTCCTCAGCTGCACTAGCTGTATGTCAAGGGCACAATAGTCACGTGGGCTACTTCCTGGTTGTCATACTGGACAGCGCAGATTATAGACAGTTTCCATCATTGGAGGAAGTTCTTTTGGGCGGTGTTGAATTTGAATTTTTTGCCCTGTGTTATTTGTTTATCTATTATTTATTTTTAAAATATATCTTTATTGATTTCAGAGAGAGGAAAATAGAGGGACAGAGAGATAGAAACATCAATGATGAGAGAGTCATTGATCAGCTGCCTCCTGCACGCCCCCGACTGGGGATCGATCCCACAACCTGGGCATGTGCCCTGACTAGGAATCAAACCCCGATCTCCTGGGTCCTAGGTTGACACTCAACCGCTGAGCCATGCCTGGCCGGGCTACCCTGTGTAATTTAAAAGAAAGAGAACATTTTGGAAGTATAACTAATACTCTGCAATTTCATTTTTATATTTTCTTTCATCAAAACAGTCCAAAATACCATATGATATACATATGTACATAATGTTATGTATAGTATATGTAAGAACCAGAACTGAGAGAGAAACATATTGTAGGCCAGTAACAATAGCACTAGACATTAATTCGTATACTTTTTCTTATGAAAGTTTCAATGATACAAAAAAGGAAAAATAATTGTACAATACGTACCATATGACCACTGCCTAGTTTAAATAACTTTTCACATTTTGCCATATTTGTTTCAACTGTATAAAGTAATTTACAAACATCATGGTGCTTTACCCCCAAATACTTGAGTATATGTCTCTAAAAAGGTAGGATATTTTCTTATAAAACCGTAATATTATTATAACATTTAATTTGAATGTAGTCTACATAGCAGGGGGTGGGAATATTTATATACAGGGCATAGAGAGAGAAGAATTGGTAGAAAGCAACAAAAGTTATTTGAGGAATAGCTTTGGATGTGCTGTTAGAATACTTAATTGGGAAAATCCTAAAGGCAGTTCAAGTTGGACATTGTTTGGAGCTAGAGAAATAGATTTAGGCTCTCCGTATGTACCTTTGCTTGAAAGGAAGTGGCTCATAGATGGCACTCTCACCTCCTCCCTTTTAGGGGGCAGAAAGGTGTTTGGAAGAGACCAAGAAGGAATTTGCTTCTATGCTCATTCAGGGGACAGAACTGAAAAATTAATATCTTTTAAATACTGTAGAAATAATATAGGAAATAAATTTTTTTGAGGATCATGAGTTTATATTGATTTGTCTAATTCAAACTTAACATTACTTAACATTATATTTCCTTTATATTTGTATCTCTTCTACAATAAAATATTAGTAATTATAAAATTAATATAGTTATTTCCTTTATGCTGTAATATATACAAAATATTTCAGTTATAATATTAATATTACTACAAATAGTAAGCCCACCAAGTGGAAGATTTATTTGCAATTACTTTTGTCCTTAGAAATTAGGTTTATTTGTTTCTGCTTGTATTAGGTTTTAGAGGTTTTTTGAAAATTTTTGTCTTTAATATATAAAACATCTAGATGCTTCAAAGTTCAAGTATATGAAAAGGTATACTCAGAGAAGCCTTACTCTCATCCCTGTCTCTCTCGCTCCTCTCACCCATCCCTGAGTAGGTAATGATTTTTATTATTTTCCACTTTGTTCCTCCTGTGTTTATGTTTGCAAAAAAGAAACCTACGTATATTTTTCTCCTATCCCAATATGTATTTTCTTTTTTTTAATCCTCACCGAGAATATTTTTTTCCGTTGCTTTTCAGAGAGAGTGGAAAGGGGGGAGAGACAGAGAGAGAAAGAAGGAGAGAGGGAGGGAGGGATGAGAGAGAAAGAAAAGAAGAAAGAAAGAAAAGGAAAGAAGGAAAAGAAGGAAAGAAAGAAGGAAAGAAAGAAGGAAAGGAGAGGAAAGGAAGAAAGGAAGAGAAAGAGGCATTTATGTATGAGAGAGCTTGTTTGGGAAAATGTAGTTTAAAACCTCTCACAACTTCTAAGAAAAGTTCAAAGAGCAGCCAAAAAAATCAGTGGGTGTCACTGTGGGCAGAGACTTAGGGCCTCTCTGTTCAGTGTTTTGTCTGATATTTGCACAACAGCTGGGCGTTAGAACGACCACTCTTGAGCACAGGACCACAGAAGTCGTATAGCAGCAGCTCTAGTGTTCCTGTAAAAGGGAGAGGTGATTTGTGTAAATTGTTAATAACTAGTTTAATACGGTATTTCCCCCTTATCTGCAGTTTTGCTTTCCTCAGTGTCAGTTACCTTTGGACTGTCTCAGTCCAAAAATATTAAATGGAAAATTCCAGAAATCGCTGTCCTGCTCCATCTCACCCAGGATGTGAATCATCCTTTGTCCTCTGTTTCCAAGCTGTAGTCACTCTCTGCCCGTTATCCACTTAGTATCAAATCCACTGTTGATGTATCACAGTGCTTGTGTTCAAGTAACCCTTGTTTTACTTAACTGTGGTCCCAAATCCCAAGAGTAGTGATGCTGGCAATTCAGATATGCCAAAGAGAAGCTGTAAACTTCACCATAGGTATGTATGTATAGGAAAAAACAGCACACATGGGGTTGGGGACTCAGCGGTTTCAGGCATCCACTGGGGGTCATAGAACTAGGGACTGCATTTGTTACAATTTTTCTTTTTCTTTTGGGGGATGTGTATGTGGTAACTTATTCTTTCATTTAAATATTTTGAAATGAGATAATGTCTGTGAAACTCTTAATGTGATATCTGGCACATAGTAAGCACTCAATAACTTAATCCTAACATTAACTGGTTTTTATAACAATTGTTAATTAACCTTTATGTGTATTTCAGAGAGCTATTGCTTATCTTTTCCCTAGTGGTTTGCTTGAGAAGCGAGCTAGACCAATAATGAAGGTAATTATCTTAATATTTTTAAAATTTTCACTTAGATATTTGTTACAATAATTATCTAATGTACTTTTAATTTCTTTTACAGCATCCTGAACAGATTTTCCCAAAACAGAAAGGTAAGTTTACTCAAGAATGAAGTAAACAGTTCTTTTTTCTGTATTATTATTTATATATCAGCAGTCACTTACATATGACGGGAGAAATATGTCCAAAAAGATATTACTAAGACTGATGTCAAATAGTTTATTACCTATGTTTTCTTCTAGGACTTCTGTGGTTTCAGGTCCTCCATTTAAGTCTTTAATTCATTTTGAGTTTATGTGATGTAAGATAGTGGTTCAGTGTCATTTTTTCTACATGATCTGTTCAGATTTTCCAACACCACTGAAGAGACTGTCATTTCTCCATTGTATATTCTTCCCTTTTTGTCTTACATTAATTGACCATATAAGCAAGGGCTTATTTCTGGACTCTCTATTCTGTTCCATTGATCAGTGTGTCTGTTTTTGTGCCAATCCCATACTGTTATGATTATTATAGTTTTGTAGAATAGTTTGAAATCAGTGAGTGTGATACCTTCAACTTTGTTCTTCCTTCTCAAGATTGCTTGGGCTACTTGTGGTCCTTTGTGATTCCATATAAATTTTAGGATTTTTCTACTTTTAAGAAGAATGCCATTGGTATTTTTCTAGGGATTGTATTGAATCTGTAGATTACTCTGTATAGTATAGTCATTTTAATGAAAATAATCCTTCCAGTCTAAGAACATGGTATATCCTTCCATTTATTTTTGTTGTCTTCAGTTTCTTCTTCAGTGTCTTATAGTTTTCAGAGTACAAGTCTTTTATCTCGTTGGTTAAATTTATTAGGTATTTTATTCTTTTTGATGCATGTAAGTGGGGTTGTTTTCTTAATTTCTCATGATCATTTATTATTAGTGTATAGAAACATGATGGATTTCTTTATATTTCAGTAAAGTGGCCGGATTTTACTGAACTCATTTATTCTAATCAGTTTTTGGTAGAATCTTTAGGGTTCTCTCTATAGTATCATGTCATCTGCAAACAGTGATACTTTTGCCTCTCCCTTTCCAATTTGGATGACTTTTACTTCTTTTTGTTGTCTGGTTGCTATCGCTAGTATTCCAGTACTGTATCGAATAATACTGGTGAGAATGGGCATCTTTGTCTTGTTCCTGATCTTAGAGGAAAAGCATTCACCTTTTTAGTATTGAGTATGATATTAGCTGTGGGCTTGTCGTATATGGCCTTTGTCATTTTGAAGTAAGTTCCTTCTATACCTACTTTGTTGATGTATTAAGAATTATACCCCTAAAACCTATATAATTTTATTTACCAATGTCACCCCAATAAATGCAATAAAAAAGAAAAATAAATTCAAAAAATAACAGTACTCCCTTAGAATCAGCAAAATATTTTTGCCACCTACCTATGTACCAATTTTACTTTGTGAATATAGGACAAAATGATTTTTTATGCTAAAAAATGTGAGTGAATTTGACATTTGAATAGATTATGACACTTGTAATGTACTACTGCTTCCTTGATTAAAAGGTGAAGTCTTTTCCAAATTAAGTTAACATAAAAATCCTGCTTTACTGTTTAAAGCAAAGGATAAAAATATTGGGAAAAACAAAGACATATACGAATTGATACAGAAGCAAGGAATAGTATACCTAATACTAGACAAAATCAGGGAGATTGGGGAATGGCTCAATGAGACAAGAATGGTAATTTATGTTGATAAAACCTAGTATCTATTAAGTGGATTTGACGACCATGAACCTTTTTGCACCAAGCATTTAGCATTGAAATGTTTAAAGCAAAAGCTGTTAACTAAGTCTCTAAAGAATTTGAATAACACAGCATGATTTTATAACTACAGATATAAGTGCAAAGAATACATTTGCTATACAGATGTCAATGGAATATTAATAGCAATACCATGTAATAGTTCATAGAGAAAACTAACAAAGTCCAAAAAGTAGGTATTATATAGATTAGATTTTTCTGACTATAAAAATCAACAGAACTATAAAACTGTTGTGTTAAAGAGGAAATCAAAATTGAGATTACAGACTATTTAGAAATACAGATTATCTTTTTCTTCTTGGCTTAGTCTTGAAAGATTGTATGTTTCTAGAAATTTACCCATTTTTTTCTAGATTGTCCAATTTGTTGGCATATTTGTTAATGATCTTTTGTATTTCTGTGGAGTCAACTGTAATCTCTTTCATTTCTGATATTATTTATTTGGGCTCTCTTTTTTCTTGATGAGTATTGCTAGAGGTTTGTTGGTTTTGTTTATTTTTGCAGCGAATCGACTTTTAGTTTCATTGATCTTTTTAATTGTTTCTTTTGTCTCTGTTTCACTTATTTTCGCTCCAGTGTTTATTATTTTCTTCCTTCTACTTACTTGGGGATTAGGTGTTTTGTGAGTGCCCGCTTCCTGGTTCATAGCTATCTTCCCGTGTTCTCACATGGTGGAAGGGAACGGGGACCTCTCTGGGATTCCTTTTATGAGAAACTAATCCTCTTCATGAGGGCAGAGCCCCAATTTCCTCTCCAAGACCCCACATCCAAATACCAACACATTGGGGATTAGGCCGCAATATATGAATTTTTGGGAAGACAAACATTCTGTCTATAGCAAGTATATAGTGTAAACACAGGTTAAAACCATTTGTGTTTTTAAAAAACGTAAAAAATCTTTTATATTTCAGTAGATATACATATGTAAGAGCACCAAAGGAGTTTAGAACAATAAACTGTAGCCTTGCCTCTGGCAAGGGAATTCTAATATTTGACCTTTATAAGAGGAGTGAGCAAAAGCAGTCCTTAGAGGGAAACGTATAGCATTGAATGCATATATTAGAAGAGAGATCTAAATCAGTCATTGAAGCTTCTACCTTAGGAAACTAGAAAAAGAGGAGCAAATTAAATTCAAAGTAAGCAGAATAAAAGAAATAAAAATTAGAGCAGAAATCAATGACATTGAAAACAGGAAATCAGTGGAAAAAATCAACAAAACTAGAAGCTGGTTCTTTGAAAAGATCAGTAAAATCTATAGCCCCTAGCCAGGCTAACTAAAAAATAAAAAAGGAGAGAGAGGATACAATACCAAGACCAGAAATGAAAGACAGGACCCTGCCACAGATGCCATGGGCAGCAAGAGGGTAGTCAGGGAGCCACCACAGTATACATCAACCAATATGCAGTGTGTCTGGTATTAAAATTTCATGGGGAGGGAGGCAATTAGGAAAAAAAGTCTAAAAGGTCTCCTTAATAAGGTTGATCATGAAAAACCATTTGAGAAACACTGCACTAGAGGACAAGTGAGATTCTAGAAAAACATGTATGTTAAACATCTTGATTTTGAAAGACACCATGAACACAATTAAAAGGCAAGTGATAGATTGGGAGAAAAGAGTTTACAACCTACGTAAATGGACAGGAGTGTAATCTTTAACATATTAGACTTCCTACAAATTAACAGAAACAATAGAAACATGGGCAAAGGGCATGGAGTTAGTGTTTGCTTGCATTCACTAGAACTGAACGGCCATCTGTACTTCAGAAGGAATTACACACATAGCACCTTTTGGGGGCCCCTTCTGTTTTAGACATATTAAACTCTACTGTATGTCATCACAGAGTTGAAACAGGGTGGCGTGGAAAAATCCGTTTAGTTTTTTTCTTTGTTGTACTATGCCTGTTTCTAATTTTCTGAATGAATTACATTGACTATATCAGTTTTCGTTTTTAAGAAGATGGGAGTGCATTGTATTTACAGTCATACCTAATTTTTTATTTTGCCCTAACAGGATGATTTTGGCCAATTTGTGTGTGTTTATTTAAAACAAGTTATAGAAATTCTTGTGGTGAGATATTTAGGAATAAGTTCTGAAGTACAAACATTGTTTTATGTCAATGGGTATTAAATAGTAAAACTCCAAATATTAATGATTTTTGTTTCTTTAAAAGTTAATCAGAATTATTAACCTGTCTCATAACTGCAATTAAATACATCTATTTGGTCTCTCTCTGTATATTTTTAGTTTTGCTTATTTGTTTTCATCTGGCTTTTTATTAGCAACCCAGTGGGGAGAAGATGGCCGCCCATTTCATTTTCTCTTTTATACTGGCAAACAGTCATATTACTCACTAATGCATGTAAGTACACTACATTTATGATAAATAATATGAACTGTAAGCTAAGTAACTGATTATACCAGAGATTTTGCTAAGCTTCATGATTTACCTAGTATGTTTCATAATGAGGAAAAATAAGACTTCTAGAGGTAAGACAGTATGTTAAAAGGCTTTAGATTTTATTTCATTTTTCTAAAGGTAAACATTTATAGAATTTATAACAGAATGGTTTGTCCTTAAAATGCTTTTACTTACAGATTGAGATCATGTTAGGAGATAGATGCTCAATTCAATCATAGTGCGCATATGTGCAGTCCGGGTAAACCGTGAAACAGGCAGACGCCAATCTGTATGGATCACTGGCATCAGGGGCTGTGAAGCACCTTGGGAGAGACTCAGATAGTTAACTGTACTTGTTATTCAGACACAGTTGTTGCTTTTCATAGACTAATGCAGTGTGTGAATCTGGTGAGTCTAGAAAAAGACCTAAGACGTGCTTTCATTACATTGACTTGCCACCTGCATTGGAGTGGACTGGAAGCTTCTGTTTCAGAGCCTGCATGTGGTAGTGAGCAAAAGTGGGGGTTCCCCAGAGTAACTATGGGGAAACCTGGATGCCAATATCCAGGTTTAAGCAGCAGAACCCATTTCATTCTTAGAACATGTCAAGCTTTACTTTATTCATTGTATGATTTTTTTAGAATATTCACTGGGTTTCCCATCCACAGTCCAATTTCAGGTTGCTTGAGTCCCATGCACACATTTCCTCTGCTCCTTAGAACTGATGTTTGTTGGCGCTCCACAAACCCAAAAGGACAAAATCCCCACTTGTCAGGTACATTTATTTCTTGGGGGGGAAAAAAGAAAACCTTCTTTTCGTTTTTTGTTGACCTTGGGCAAATGAGCTTCTTGCCCTGGCAGAAATGAAATGAATGATAAATGTCGAGTGTGTCTTTGCTGAGTAATGGAGCTGCGCGCAGGCTTTCCGCTGCTGAGGTTGTCTCGCAGCGCCCGAGGCTGCCCAGGGACCCCTGCTGTTCATTTAAATAGGTATGTCAAATCTGCCTGCAGACGCCACTGGTTTGATCTGTGGTAATATTTGTGAAGGTTCCATATGGACTTAAGCCCCCTGCAGTGCTAAGAAATAATGTACAACGCTTCATGGTGCAGACGCAAATTTCCTCTGAAAAGGGATGCAGTGCTGCGTTTTAGCTGTCGGAGGGGATGATGGAGCTGACGCGCTAGGCCTGTCAACTTGTTACACGGATGGGTTGCACGCAGCGAGGCTGTGGAAAATCTGTGCCTTTTAACTTTTCTACTTAATCACGGCTGTAGCATTGCCTTTAGACTGTATGCTACATTAATTCCCTTCCTGCCTTCTGCCTTTCATCCCAAGTTTCACGGGAAAGGAAAGCATGCAGGTCTTGTGGAGGCGCCTTATCAACCAGCTGTCATCCCACAAGCCATTTGCATTTGTTTTGGCTGAAACTGAGAAACCCAAGGGCAAGATGTTTTGTTGCATTCCATCATAATGAAGAAATTACACTTTGTAGGAGAGGCCTAACTTTATTTTTAGTTTATTTTTATGTCTTTTAAAAGATATCGCTCAAGAAACTGGTCTTAGTGGGTAATTATTAGCATACTCTGAAAAGTCAAATTATATCTGATCAATAAATACTTTCTTTTTAAGTAATACGGTTCCTGTTACATATAGGAGAGTTCTTTGGCTTTTATGTTTCAGTTAAATTCTGTAATTTAGGTCAGTTTGTTTCATTGGATGTTTTGTACTCTCCAAACTGTATGGGTTTAGTGTTTGTTTTATTGCTCATCAGAACAGTTTACATATAGGAATTACAGATATTTGGGGTTAACTTGAGCATTTTAATTTTAATTCAGATAATTAGTAAAAACTTGTATATTCAAAACTCTGTTCTATGGAATTTTAAAGTAATTGTATGTATGGGGAAGGATGTTTTCCTAAGAGTATGCACATCACTTGAGCATCGGGTGCGGTACCTTTGTTAATTACAGAATAGTCACACCGTCTCAGTTCCGAGACCACGCAGACCAATATCCTCCCAGATCTGGTTGCTGCTTTAAGTAGCATGTGACTCAGTACTCACTGGTGGGCTTATAACGTGGTTTTGTGGTGGAGTCAAGCATTGCACATAAGATAAAACGATAAAAGTGGAAACTGCTTCATGTGTTTGCTCTTGCCTTTGTTCCGCCTTCTCTTGGTGGCGGGGGCTGCTGTTCCATTCTGTGTGACCACGAGTCCACTCCTGCGCTCCCACTGCAGCAAGGGGATTGGCCCCAAAGATTGGCTGGCATTAAATACTTGGAATTGAGTGATTGTTGTTACTATTTCTTTTTGTTGACATAATTTCTTCCCATGTCACAGGGTAAAAGGCACTGAGCCAGATCCATTTTCCCAGTGTCATTGACCAACTAGAATTGAGGCCTGGCAGTCATCGACCAAGATTTTTGACACAAACACAGATCTAGACCACACGTACAGCTCTGCCAGGAGACCTTTCTGGTGTCGGTTAACCTCTGTCCTCTGTGCCTAGCTTCCTTTTAGTATTTGGTCACTGTTTGTGTATTAAGCAGATGTGTTACATTAAATCAACTAACAGATGATAGTCCTGATGCAGCTTACAGTTAGGGTAAAGAAATGCTTTAGTGGGCACTGTCCAGATGGCCTGTGATTGGCCCAGCTGATTTTTGCGGAGAAGCAGGGAGGTTTCTGAAGGATGGTGAAGATGAGAGGAAGGAGCAATTTATTGTTCCTGCAAAGAAATGAAGCACGACAGGAAAGGGTGCGGTGAGGGGAGAGGGCTGCTGATCATGGGCCCGGCTTGTACACATGTGACATTCTGGGGTTTGCTGGCAGGTGAGCTAGAGCGGGAGTTGCTCTGGACAGCAATACACTTCTTCACGTCCTGGGAAAGCTGACGACAGACCCCTTACAATACAGCGAATGTGATGTCCATCTGTGATGGAGAAAGATTAAAACAGCGCCAACAGCTGATTTCTTAAGCAATAAAAAGTAGTTTAAGTGGGACGAAACCAGACTTGAGCTTCTCTAATGGTGGTTGAGTGTGAAAAGGGAGCTCCGTGCTGGAGGGCACTGGCTGCCTCGCTTTTTCCACTCAAATGGCCGTTTCTTTAACAGCCACTTAACCAGTGGAACTTGTATGCTTTTCAGACATGATTTAACATTTCAGTTTAGGGTTCCAGGAGCAGAATGAAGAAGTAAAGAGTAGTTTTCGGAAACAGCTGAGCAGAAGTATAAAGGGAGGGGAAGGCTTTTTAAAGAGGAGTGTCTGCAAGGAAGACAGTGCTGTGCCACTGAGCAACTGTGCTGTGAGCGGCCTACGTCTAGGTGAGGGACAGTAGGGGATAGGCCAGAAGGTGTGCCTTTGGTTGCACCAGCCGGCGGTGAAGGGGAGAGTGGGCTGCATTCATGAACAAGGTGTTGGTGACCTGGGCAGTCATGGTTGAGTTTGTGCAGGTCCTTTAATTTTTAGAAAAATGTTAATTCAGATTGACTCATTTTATTAGTACGTACGTTTCTGAAAATTTAAAAATTCACTCATGAAAAATGAATTGAAAATTATTTAAAACTCATTATAGGGGGTGATTGTTTCACTCTGAAGTGGGAACCCTTTTGTAAAATACGGTTCATTAAGACCCCATGTCTGTAATTCAGTCTTCCCAACCTGCTTTCTGAGGCACACAGGTTATAAAATACTCTTCAAGAATGGGCCTCTGAAGTTAAGTTTCTTAGGGAGGGCTGCATACTGCGGCCTAGGAAACTCTTGGTAGCATGAAGAACTGTGAAGTCCTTCAGTACAGACACCTGTGGCATTAGCCCGTTGCTGTTCACACATGCTGGATCGTGGAACCCGTTCTACCCAGAGCACTTTTTTAATATCAGCACCTGGGAAGAGCTGTGTAGCATATTGGAAACACTGTAAGTTGTCAAATATGTTAAGCGTTTATTGAAATTTTACATGAATGATCTCTTCTCCCCAATCTTTAGGATAAGATTAGTCAGCTCTAAAAACTGCACTGGGAATAATTTAGCACCTTACAGAAATCTCATTGATATTTAGGACAAGTTTTATAGTAAGCAGTGGAGTATTTTTATAAATTGAAGGAATTACATGTTCACAGGTGGAATTTTTACCCCCCAAAAGAAGTATAAAATTAGGGAATAAGTAGATCATTATATACTAAAACTACTTTGCTGAATTAAAAAATACACACACACACATATATATGAGAAACAAAACCAAGTGATTCTAATTCTGATAATGTATGACTGAACAGGATTCATTGCCTTTTGAAAGAAGCTCCTGGCTTATTTAGAAATTCTCCAGTTTGTTTTAAATGACTTAAGTGGCCATCCATGGTTGTGCGAGAACCTTCCAAAGCACAGCCCAGGAGGAGCGTGGGGCTCATCAGGTGCAGAGTCCAGACTCTTAAAGCCCACTCCTAGGATGTGGAGTCACAGAATCCTCACTTCCTGCACATCTTTGTAACCTTGTGGTGAATATTTAAAACTCTTGATGTAGTGCTTTTATCCGTAAAAATGGAATGAAAATGGTGAGCCTTCTCAGGGTGAGGTGTTGTGAAATAACTACATTATGTAAAGGGCTTAGTTTTAGAAAACCACAGACAATGCTGGCATGTCCACGTGCTGCTTTAAGACTTTCCTGACAGCAGGAGTTAATTCAGGATTAACTCAGCAGTAGAAACTGCTGTTCCAGGAGTATCTGTAATATACATTGGAATCATTACTATTGTATATCTTGCCATGTACTAAATGTAACAATTAAAAAATTAAATTTTAAAAACTGATTCAACTTACTTCCTCTGGTTTTAATCAGTTTATGCATATATGTATAATGGTATAATTGTTATAATATATGGTGGTGTTACTTTGAGTAGTAAAAATATGTGGTATGTGAGTTACAAGCTTTTTTTATGTAATTACGCCTGGGTGTGCTTTGCTAGAGTACTTTTCTGCATGACCTGTATAGGAGTCTACTTCCCTTTTTATGTGACTAGCATTATATGATGTGTGAACTGTTAGCATATTGTTTATACAGTGAGAGCAAGGGTCTGCACTAGAAATATGTCGCTTGAAATTGTAGATCAGTAGCAGAAACTATGATAAATGAGTTATATTTATATTTATTTAATTTGACTTTGTACGTGCCAGTAGCCTTAAAATTGAAAATGTTATTTAGGAAATTGATTTTCTGTGATTAAAAAAAACCACAAATATGTAATTTTGAGTGTGTTACTTTTCTGTTTTTGTCTAGTATCTAAGATGATAGTTGTTATTATGTTATTGTATATTTGTATATCAAAATACAGTTGAATTTTCCTATACCACTCTCCCAAGAAATGTTATTTGTTTACTCTTCCTAAATTTGGAATTTCTAGATGATTAATAATAACAACCAAAACAGATTTCAGAAAACTAAAATCAGGTTTTTTAAACCAAAAATCATACTGCTCATGCTCTTGGAGGGTTTCGTTTAAGCACTTCTTTCCTGCAACCTGAGCATCTGGTATTTTCAAATTAGGCACCTTCTAAATTTGACTCATGCATTATGGAAATCTGATGGCATGAGGGTGGATAGGCTCGCTTTGATTTTATGAAATATTAATCATAGCTGTGATTAATGATTCAGCATTTCACATCTGGGTTATTCCTGTCATATTTGAAAATGATACTATTAAATACAGTATACAAACTTAGTGTAGGTGGGTCATACTAATTCTCTAGTGTCCCTTAAAAATTAAGTGGAAATTTAACAGGATACCAGAAGCTACCGGTGATAATCTGTGATGTTGACAGTTCCTGGCATATTTTATACCCTCAAGGAACTTTTATGTAAATTAGTAGACGTCTCTTCAGGGAGTTGAAGCTATAGAATGATCTACTTTCCAGAGAGCTGTTGTTTCTAACCAAGATAGACTCTCAGGAGTGGTTTTGTTACATAGAAAAGGAAGAAAAATAGAAACGGCGCACCAGTACAGTTGTTTCTGGATATTAGACTCCTGAGTGCCCTCTGTCACCCAGCCGCCATTTCTTGACCGTTAGCACAGGCCAGGCACTATGCAGAGCAGTTTACATATATTATTTTCCTATTTAAAGAAGTATAAGGAGTGATTTAATGAGCATTATGTAATTTGACAGGTTACTACCAACAAAGTATTAACATTTGCCATAAACAAATTTACCATGTTTGAAATTTGACATGAACTTTTCATGAGTTTGTTTTCTCGTATTCTGCATTTTTTTCTGATTATTTTACTTGCACTGTTTATAAATTATTATGGAACCAAATATAACACTGGATGGTAATAACAAGGTGAAAGAAAATAGTAAGAAAAATATGGACTTAAAAATTGCTCAGAAGTCACTGGAAAATGATGAATTTAGCAGCCTAGACTTTGACTTGAAACTTACCTGGGAAGCAGGTCAGTTATTTTTATTTTAGTTGCCTTGTTTATTCCAGAAAATTAAATGGAGCCTTGCAAGCAGGGGAGGGTACCCTATTACTGTTCCTGGTGTTCTTCTGGATTTATATTTCCTTCGTTAGATCTGAAAGATACAATGCTTCTGACTTACACACTCAGAATCTTACTGTGCCCTCCTTCTACCAGCATCCCCAGACGTAGCAGTCTGGCTGGGGCCCAGTGAGATGCAGTGTGCACTGTCCACTTCAGACAAGTCGAGGAGGGTCTTTCCCTTTGTTTTACCTGTTCAGAGCACTTGAGAATTGCTTTCTCAAAACAGGTGCATAGAAATTTTTCTGATACACTGTTCAGTTGGGGTCACAACCCACTATCTGAGCCTTTAGAAATGAGTCAACCATAGTCAAATGAGGCTTGCCAGTTCTAGGGAGACAGTTGTAAAATTTTATTTAAGTTGAATAGCAGGTACATGTTTTATCTGTGGATGGTTCACATTAGTTTTTGCTTTCTTTAGGGTGGACAGTTGTTTGTTTTAAATTGTCACATATGGCCCGACCGGGCGTGGCTCAGTGGTTGAGCATCGACCTAGGATCCAGAAGATCGCGGTTCGATTCCCAGTCAGGACACATGCCTGGGTTGTGGGCTCGGTCCCCAGCAGGGGGCGTGCAGGAGGCAGCCAGTCAGTGAGGACTCTCGTCATTGATGTTCTATCTCTCTCTCTCCCTCTCCCTTCCTCTCTCTGAAATCAATAAAGATATATTTAAAAAATAAAATAGTCACATATGTTCTGCTGCAGCTACATCTGATGGATTTGTACTTTGGATGTAGTTGTAGAGATAGTTACCCTTGATAAGGACACTAGAAGCGTCCTTCCTTTTTCCTCTTGCTATCGCATTGAACTCGGCTCTCCGCATGTCTAGTGTGCAGATGCCGCTGTGACTGCTTCCCCCCAAAAGTCTGGTGTGGGGCCCACGAAGTTACATTTCCAAGCAGTCTTAGGCTTGGGTGCTGCTGCTGCCGCCACTGCCACCTCCACCACCCTGGGAACATGCCTTTACAGTTCCTGAACTGGTAGTTTCACTTTGTGTGCAATGCTCATCTCCACCATTGGAATCTGTAGCGCAGCCCCGGTTTGGTGGCTTCCTGCTGCTTTGCTTTTCTTCGTCTCTGCTCAGCTATCCATCCACTGGCCCTACTGAGAAACAAAGCGGAGGCCCACTCCTGAGCCCCCCGTCACAAGACGTGCACTTTCACATCCTGATCTCTGGAGTTAGCCTCAGCTGTCTCACCTGCAAAGGCTCCGTGTTTACATTCTTTTCTTTTTTTTAGCATTTTTTTCCCCGTGAGAGTAATGGATTTCTGAAAAGAGGTTCCCAAGTGAAGATAGTAGTAAAGTGCAAGCAGTGGTGAATACAAGGGCAGTGCAAAGGGACACTTCTTTAAGCACAAGCTCTTTATTAGCCACATTGTGATGGAATGTGGCAGTCTAATCAGAGCCCATAAGAAATTGCCCTCAAATTTGAAATGATTAATTAAGACTGTCAGGGATACAGGTGAACATCCCTGTCAGTAGCAAGTTATGTCTTCCGACATTAGCTAATGACATTGGGAGGTGTCGTGATTAGCGAGAAAAAAATGTCATTTATATCAGGTCTAACTCATTCTTTGAAAATGCCTGTTTGTTCATTAGGTATTGTAAGTTATAAATGAAGACTCACATATTGGGTGTGAGTCTTCAGATGGTTAAGTTTGCTCAAACAAATATTGGCAGACAATTGCATTATCCTGTTTGTTGTAAACTCATTTCCTGGAAAATGTATTTTGTTGATAACTTGTATTGCCAAGTTATAACAAAATGGCAGATTTTCCCCTACTTGCATTACATTTTAACAAGTGCCATACATTCGCAGACTTTGTTAGAAAGTAAATTAACAAAAGAAATCAGATAATGAAAAGTAAATAGGATAGAAAACTGGTTTTAAGATACAAAGTACATAGAGAGGGCTTAAATATTATGTAAGTATACATTAGATAAGTAGTTCAGCTGTAAATACCTTAACTTTTACTGGTTAATTCTTTAAGTTTAAAGAGCATATTGCTATATAAATTAAGATTTTTTTCCCTAAGGAAAATTTTTGTTCCTGTTTGTGGAACTCTAAGGAAAATAGTTTGTAGCTTTGTTTAGTTTTTACCAGCCTCACTGGAGTTTCTTATAGAGTTGCTTAAAAATCAGTTATTTAAAAACCAGTTCATGTATGCATTATACGAAATTCTCATTGAAATTACTCTCCCATTCTTGAGTTTGAATGAGAAATAGTATTATTACAGAGCATTTTCAGTATTATTTGCTATGCAGCTAGATTATTTGAGGAGGACACTTTTAAAGTAAAGGGTGCGCAGGGAAAATATAAAGTGAAGTAGTAACATACCATCTCTCTTATTTTAGCATGTGTATTTTATTTGCCACAGGACGCATATGGAAAGCTGCTCGATGTAGAAAAACATAAAAACCAGTTGCAAGCCAAAGGTCTGTTTTCAGAAAAAGATAAAACCAAGTAAGTTCTTTTCTTGCATTGAAATCTATGAAAAAAAATTTTTTTTAAATATGTCTTTATTGATTTCAGAGAGAGGAAGGGAGAGGGAGAGGGGCGGAAACATCAATGATGAGAGAGTCACTGATCGGCTGCCTCCTGGATGCCCCCTCCTGGGGGATCGAGCCTGCAAGCCGGGCATGTGCCCTGACCGGGAATCAAACCGTGATCCGCTGGATCATAGGTTGACGCTCAACTGCTGAGCCACACCGGCCAGGCAAAAATCTATGAAAATTTGAACTAAAAACATGGAACTTATCATTGGTGTTTTTAAAGCATACCTTAAACCTAAAAATCAGTTCAGTATTTCAGCATTAATCTTAAAGTTAGAAGTAAAAATAAGTGATTTTTTTTTTTGTTTGGAAGTAAATACTAAGGTTATTGTTTTCATGTTACTTCATTCCATATTTATATACTAAATGGAGTTTAATAACTATATTTGAGTATGATGGCCTCAGAATTTTTGTGTCTATAGCTACACATTTAACTTCTACATGGTTTAATTTTTTTTAGTATTTCAAGGTTTGTGCTTTTGTTTAGCAACAGTGAGAGATTAGATCCCTCATCCTGAGCCACCAGTTTTAAATTTCGGCCTGGTTATTTCACATATTTCTTCTCCCCCAAAAGACAAATCTTTGAGCACATCTTATTTAAGTTGTAAGTGCTGCCTCAGCCCTTCATTTGGACGTTACTACTGTAGCCCATTGACAGATTAATGTTGCACCCATAGCCTCTCCTCTGAAGTAAATCAGTGAAAAACAAGTGAAATTTTTAAGAAATCTGGTGGCTTTTAATAGCAAATGAATTCCACAATGGCACGTTAACTCTTCAGACTAAACTAGCTAGATTGGGTATCTTTCTAGAGTAGATTGGGGAGATGAAGTATGACATCTGAAAAATAGTTTGCTTGGATGAAATTTTACAGCTATATAGTGCAAAATTTGTTTCCCAGTCAAGAATTGCTACTACATGTGGGATCCTTTGTGGTACGACTCTAATTGCATGGTTAATTTAAAAGTAATCTAGGTGATATTTTAACAGAGACCTGATTGGCAGCAGATGGCTGATTAAGGAGGAACTGGAAGAAATGTTGGTGGAAAAACTGTCAGACCAAGATGTGAGTAATTGATCTTTTTAGTTTAAGGGGACCTGTGCCCTAACAATGCAGGCAATTGCTGTATTTAGGATCCTAGTAGTGATGTTCCTGAGAGGTTCCTAAGACAGTTTCCCATTTTAAAACACACTTATAGTTGATTACTGCCATGGGAGGACCTTACCTGTGGTAGGAAGGTGACATGCCTGTCTCCAGACCCACTTAAGGAAGTGCCCTCATGTCCTCTGCTACTCGCTCTTGAGGAGCATGGTAGAGGTCAGCTTTCATCTCCTGCCTAAAGCGGCAGCTGATTTTATAAGCTAATGGTAAGTATAAGGAGCTGTTTCAGGTTAAGTAGGAAAGGAATGAAGCACATGGTTACCTTCACATACCTCACTGCTCTTTGCTTACCCATGTGCAGTATCTCCAAGGCCATGGTTTTTATCCTGGATCTGGAGAAGCACCTGTTCAGAATCGCTTGCAATGCTAGTCACAAACTGCAGGCCTAATACTCAGCCAGAGCTGAGAATTTCTAGGGGTGTCACTTGGGAATCAGTATTTTTAACAAGCTCCTAGGTGAATGTTATGTCCTCTAGTTTGTGACCCCTTGCTTTAGGCCTCAATCAGATTCTTATTTTGCTAAATGTCCTAATATATGCCAGTATCATCAGAGGAAATTTGATGTTTAAAATATTTTGATGTTCTAAGTGTAGATTATTTTTGGAAGATTTCCGTATAGTTTAACTTCACAATTGTTCCAAGAGTGTTTTTCTTCCCTGGCAGTGTCTTAACATTGTTAGTAACTTCCCACCATATAGGTTTAAGTCATGTACTGAAATCGCCCTTTTTCTCATTGAACATATTGGATAAATTAATGATTTGGAAATTGCTTACCCAGGGTGCCGGGCATTTGGTGAGTGAGTGGTAGGTCTAGAGTTAATTTCTGGCGTCCTCACTGCCAAGTTGATGCTGCCGCTCTCAATCTAACTGGAAAGACTCCCTTTGCTTCCTCATTGAACACATCACCTCATGTTGCCTCTGTTTCTGGCTGCTTTGATTTTTATAATGCAGGGTTTTGTTTGTTTTTTTCATTTTGAAAACCTCCCAAAGACTTTATTACAGGTGTGCATATATGTGTACATACCTATGTCTTCTGTCCTTCTGGGGAGTGGCTATCAGAAGTCCTGAAGTCTGGTGTCAAGGTGAGGGAGGCAAGGGTGGTCAGTGACTTCAACTCCTTAGTTCATGAGCACGACTATGTCATACCTGTAGTTACCCCTTGGTAGGCTTGGTAGGTTCACCGGTAGTCACACTGTGTGCAGTGGAATTGAGAGAACAGCTGAGGACAAAGGATCGAGGCCTGCAGGGGAAAAGTGGAGCTTTATCAGGCTGGTGCCGTGGGTGGCTGAGTACTTCCCCTTACTCAGAAAATTGCCTTCTCTCTTCTTGTAACATCACAGGAAGCAGTCATTGAAGCAGTTCTTTTAATCTTACTGGTGAGATTTTTATATATTTCAAGTTACTAATGGCGAGTTTCACACTAAAGACAATGGTAACAAAGACGAGTGTAGCTTTTAGGGTTGGCAAAATATAAATAGGATTATCAGAATTTGTTTCATACTTCATATAACTGAGGATCTCAAGTATTAGTTGTTTCCTTTTGCATAAACACTTTAGAATGATTATTCTGGCTTCTAATTTTAAGGGGTTAATACCAAGTTGTTTACTTTCTAATCACATGTTTAAGAACTATTTAAAAAAATGCACAGAGTAGCAAGGATAATTTATTTCAAGAGGTTGCCCTTTAAGTCAAGTATCTCTTGAATTTTTAAATAGCTTGATTGTTCGGTTTTAAAGGAAATCATAAACATTAATGTAACACAGCTTGAACAGCTAAAGATATATTTGCCAAGTGTATTATGAAATATAATTTAAGAGGTACATTTTCTCAAAATCAGACTCTTCCCATTTTACTACACATAACTTACTGAAAATTATTTATGAAGCTCCATTAAATACTGTTCTAATAAAAGAGTAGAAATTACTCTTGAAGATCATCTAAATATTTTTTTGAAAATGAATTTAAATCTCAATTTCATGTCATCAAAACATGGAGAAATTGACTTTGAATGACAAATCTCTTTGTTTCTTGAAAGAAAAGACTGAGCCCTGAAGACCTCCAGGCAGGTGCTGTGTCTGCACGCTGCGTTAAAAGCAGCATGGAGGTGCCGAGTGTCATCCTGTCAAAATTCATCACGAAGGCAACATTGGAAGATCAAGGCTATAAAAATAGAGAAAATTTAGCAAATGCAATTACACTTGCATCTGCTAATGAGCCTTTATTGTCTGCAGTATGCGCAGTTCATCCGGCTGCTGGAACGGTTGTTGGCGGTGCCGTGCGGCGGGGCTGCTGACGACTTTGTGCAGCGTTTCCGCCGGAGTGTCGCTGTCCAGTCAGAAAAGCAGCTGATCGAGCCTGTGCAGCGCGACGAGCAGGGCCGGGCCTTCAGCGCAGGCGAAGGTACTGACATTCCGTGCAGAGAAATGAACTCTGGCGATGCAGGAACCGCAGTTATTTGTATTTGCTTTTGCTCTCTAGGACTCATTCGATTGGAATTCCTCCTTTTAAAGATTCTATTGAAGTTTTAAAAAAACAGGACCTTATAATGTCCCAAGAAAAAATGTGAACACATTCCTACACAATCATATTAACCCTTTTTATTTTCACATACTTATGTTAAATCTTTTTATTTTCAACTAGTGGAAACAATAAAACATTTATGATAAAGGTTTCTTACCTAAAATGAAAGTGCTCCGTGAATCTGCATATCAGATGCTAAAACTATGAACTGTGAAAATTTTAGGTCCTCACATTTTCCTTGTCCTTGTGCAAAGACATTTGACATGGTGTAACTTTTAAAAATTAATGTATTAAGTGATATATCTGCAACTCTTAAAAATTTACCATCATTGATTGCTTTGTCATTTTTAACTAATGTTTTCAGAGAAATGTAGCCATTTTTATCAATTATATTTTATCATACTTTTCACATATTTAAAAGATTATATGATTCGATATAGTCTTATTGAATATAAAAGAACACTATGTAAGTTGGTTGATTTTTTTTAAGTAATATAAATAAATATGAATTACTTTGTTACTTGTGAAAACTAATTTAAAATCACTGCAATGTTCTTCAAGTGGAACTGACAAAGTTACCTCACAGTGACTGTTACATTGATGATGGCGAGTTTACCTGGCTTTATTTTTGTTTGACTTGTAGTAGTCCTAGAACTTTCTGTATACAGTGCTATATATTGTTGTTCGGAAGAAGAAACTTTTAATGTAGCTTTATTGCCTCAAAGCCCTGCCTTTCAGATTTTTACTAATAGAAAGTTTGTATTTTTAAAGGTAAGAGAAAGAGTGCGAAAGCAGAGGCCATCCTTTATGAACACGGAAGTGGAAGGATAGAAGTTAATGGAATCGACTACCTGCTGTACTTCCCCGTGACACAGGACAGGTCAGAGTCTGGTTTTGCTTTTGCTTTTTGTTTTTAAAGAAAATATACTTCATTATACATCGTGATCAGTTCGTTAAGGCTTGTGACTTTCTGATTGTCTTTGCCTTTGCCCATGATTATTTCTCTTTATCAATACAATTTATCAGACTAGCTAGAGGGAAGCTATCACTCTTTTTTATGTAGTTTTCCAGATTTTTCAAAAGCATTTCTAAAAATTCCTCATTAATTGAATCTTCCTCCCCTTTCCATCAACTCCTACTAGAATTTGAGTGTTTCAGATATCTCTTACATTCTGAAATGCAGACTGTGCCAACATGTAAGAACAGTAGATTTCCACTTTCTGTTTCCCTAGTGTAGGGTTGAACGTAAAAAAAAACAAAAAGCAGACTTGGCCGTCATACATGTTAGAAAAAGTCTGCTCTTCCACTTCAGATATTTTCCTGTTCAGAGGAAATCAATTATATATATTGAGCAACCAAAGAAACCTTCCACATATGCCTTAAAATAAGAGTTCATCAGGCTGTGCTTAGTTCCCAGGCTGAGTATGGCAGTTTTATTTTTGAACTTTGTGTCCCATGGGAAACAGACATGAATCCCATGGATCATTAGTGGGTGTTACGTTCAGATCCTCTATATACACTCATCTTAGGTCTTTGTGAGTCTCATGCACAGGTCTGTTCTTGAGACAGTTATATTTTTCCACAAGGAACAGAAGTTCTGATGACTAGTTCCTCCTTTCGCACCTCCTGCTTCCTGAATGTGTAGTGGTTTTAAGCTCAGTGCCATGTGAGGGATGGGACGGGGCCTGCTGGTGTAGCGTAAGCCCCTGGGCAGAATAATTACTCCAGGTAACGTATGTTTATTTGTGTGTGTGTTTGTGTCCACTCTGACTCCATTTAGTGTGAATTAAACTAATTCTGCCCTCATCCTCATGGGGAAGCAGATGAGGACGTTTTTATTGCCCTTATGAAAGCCAGAGAGGCCCATTGCTTCAGTCCCGGAGACTACTAGGAGGAACGGCATTTGACCCAGACTTGCCTGTTCACTTGTTCTCGGATATAACTGATTATTTAACACAAAGTATTCATTTTTGGCTTGATCTCACAAATATATTCTTAGAACTTCTCATTTTTAATTCAACAGACATTTCACAAGGATTGTCTATGAGTTGCGTCTTTTCTGGATATTGTGAAGATATCACAGCTATTAAGATCTGATTTCTATCATTAAGACACTTTCTTATTGGGAAACCTAAGGTGGGAATGGGCGGCTAAACCGTCTCAGCATCTCTAAGTAGCTGTGGGCGCCTTGGGAGGCCATACCAGTGTGGACTGCCTTTCCTCCTGTAGGAGCAGCTCAGGGGCTTCCACATTCAGCAGTGAGGGGCACTGACCAGGAGGAAAACTTCTGAGGGTGATCTTGATTCTAGCTCTGTTTTTTAGCTGCATGACTTTAGCTGAGAGTCTTAAAGGTCACTTCTAATTGGTAGGAGGGAGTTGAACTTGATGGTCTCTAAGATGATGCCTTAAAGTCAGTTGAACTGCTTGCTTTCCAGGGGCCTTTCTTAGGCTGCTTTAACAAACAGTAGCAAATTATTGGTAGTGCTGACTCTGCTGCCTTCCCAGCATCCTCAGGAATTTTTTGTTCATTCATTCACTTACACAACAACCATTTATTACTATGTGCCTGGTACTGTGGAATAAAAGATTGATAACCTTTCTAATTTGAAAGGCCTTGGCTCTATCATTCAACCAACAAAGCAACTCTAATTGATCACCTGCACTGAGAGAGCTCATTCCTCACACGGCACTAACCACATAGTGGAGGAGATAGTGTCAGCATTTTAAGCAATTATAGAAAATAAAAGAGACTATGCAATTATATGTATTTTAAGTTACATTCTGGTAGAATTGGTGTCCTAGGAATAGTGTTCAGAGAAGATAGAAATGAGAAAATTGTTTATTTTTTTCAAAATAACTTTTATCATATAACAAGGAACAAAATAAATTTGATTCTTTTGACTCAGGATTTCATCTGGGATCCCCAAGCAGAGAGAGAAGAAATGTGAAATATTTTCAAGCCATGTAACTATTTTTGCATGAATCAGTTTATAGTCAGATTAATTAAAGTCGATAGCTATATAATTATTTTTTATTATTACCTTAGGGGCATTTTTTCATCTGTTTATAAATTGAGTATTGTGCCTCAGTGTGCATTACCTTCTCATCTAGACTCTTCTTAATGGGTCTTTCTTACCTTGACTGCTCTAGTAATATATCTCAAGTAAATTATAAAATATTTTTTCCTGAATTTTAGTCTTACATTTCTTTTAATAAGCACGTGTTGGGGAATCTTAAAATTTTAGGAATTAGGACAGGTAAATGTTTAAACTCCCAAACGAGTGGGTGGCTAGAGCTGCTCTGTAGAGTCACTGTGCCAGGAGCTCACTTGGCTGTGCTAGGCATGCAGAAGCCCTGTGACGTGTGCATATGGCAGGTCACAGATTTTATCTTGGCCTTGTTTCCTTGCTGGGAAAAATGAAATGGTGGGATTAGACAGGTTATCAGTCTCTAAATTCTCTTTAGTTATGGTAATATGGCTCTTATAACTGCTATTTACAACATTCCTATTTTTTTACTTGGTTGCTTTGAAACATTTGTTCAAAAAAGCAGTATAGATTTATGTTGCCTCCCTTTTGAAACAACCTCCCTATTGAAGCAATATTGCTACAGGTTCCGGGGAACTGGGCCCTGGAGGGTCCTGTCTGATACATCTTCCTGATGTGATTGTCTTGATAATGTAGGCCAAGGGGTGACACTTGAATGTTCTGTCTGTATCCATCTTTCAGCTGCACTGTGTTGTAATAAGCTCTGTTTGGGCTTTAGAAAGCTACAGTGTCAGACAAAGCAAGCAAAATGCAATATAAATTTACTTTTCTAAGTAAAAACTCAGCAGAGATATTAAGGCAAAATAGTCAGAGTACTTGACAAAGGTGGTAGTAAACATTGCACCTGCAAGTAAGCTGTGTTCAGAGGTGCTCGTTCCGCAGAGCAAGAGAAGGCCCAGGCCACATCTCATCTGTGTCCCAGCCTCTGATCCTGTGGTGCTGCCTGGGACCACATGGGCACTTGCTGTTGAGGGACACAGGCCTGACTGCGGTTGTACAGTGTGTCACCTGGGATCAGGCAGGGAGCAGAACCCTGCAGCTTAGAGAACTATTAATAGCAATATGTATTTCACTGGGGGGAAAAAGTTGAATGTGGTTTTAGTAACTTTAACCATGTCATGATGCGCATAGTATATACATTATACAAATGCGTTATAATTTACTTTAGTGAGTCCAGACGCATTGGACACTGTGTGGGAAAGCCTATTAATGATATCTGAGCATTGACTCCAGCGAGTTAGATTCATTTGATTAATGGAGTTTCCCAACTTTAAGACTTCTTTACGAGGCTATTTCCAAGCCTTACAAAGGCCTTATGAAGATAAAAGTAATCAGCAGTGAGGTCGTATATTGCTATAACCAGGAAAGAGAGAAATAAACCTTGCTCTCAGCAAAGCATTCTAAATATCAGAAGTACCAGTGGCCCTGGCTGGGTGGCTCAGTTGTTTGGAGCTTTTGTCCCATACACTGAAAGATGGTGGATTTGATTCCCAGTCAAGGCACGTACAGGAGGCGACCAATCACTGTTTTTCTCCCTCCCTTCCACTCTGTCTAAAAAAATCAGTGGAAAAAATATCCTCAGGTGAGGATAAAAAAAAAAAATCAATGTTTCTCTAACTCTCCCTCTCCTTTCCTCTCTTTCTAAAAATCAATAAAAATATTTTTTTTTTTAAAAAGAAAGAAATATCAGTGTTTCTTCACGTAGTGGATTAACTGAGAACACTGCATGCACAGTATGGCTTTTATAAATGCTTATAAAACCCTGTATGTTACAGTAAACATAACCACATTTCTGGTGATGTTCTTTAGAGAACAGTTGATGTTCCCTTTTCACTTCCTGGACCGACTGGGAAAACACGACGCGACCTGCACAGTCTCCGGGGGCGGGAGGTCCGCTCAGGCTGGAGCCGTGCGCTTGGCAGTGGCCAGAGCTTTGTGCAGTTTTGTCACCGAGGAAGAGGTCGAGTGGATGAGACAAGGTACGTGTGGCTGTGGGAGGGGCCTGATTGTCCCCATGCTGTGGATAGGTGTGTGTTTTATTGTGCTGCTTAGCTCAGAGAGAAAACACTCCTTTCACTGTACAGTATTGCGACCTGCTGGGTGCTCTTGTCATGCTCCAGGACCGTAACATTGTTTTTCAGTTCTGGTTTCTACAAAGTGAACTTGAATTAGAAAAAGAAAAGGGAGGCACTGCCAGCATCAGGGGACATTTATTTTCATCTCAAGGCATACCAGTTTATCAAATGCTGCTCAGTTGTGTGTAACAGATAGATTGGTGGTTTTATTTTATCATGGAAAGTTATAATAATTATTTGATTTAATGGTGAAGCTCTTAAGGTATTTCTTTCCAAAATCATTGGAGATTTCCAACTTTCCATTGTGATGTTAGTTTGAATTTTGTTGTCTCACTTCATGTGACCCCATGACCTAGTCGTGGATACACGTGTGAGAAGGAATATGCGTGACTTGTTTGTTAGGGCGCTGCATCAGCATCTATAATAAACCAGAGCGGCGTGGCTAAAGATGTTCTTTACACTATTTATGAAGAAAAGTCAGTGCCACAGGTGCTGCGTGGCCTGGGCCAGTCTCACTATGTGCGCAGCTCCTCACTCCCCAGCCCTTCCCCAGCCACTGGGTCCCCATGCAGTGCTGCAGATTAGTGCCATCTATGGCTTAGGCTAGGCAATTTGTTAAAACTCTTAAAAATCCATTCGTTTATAAACAGTTCACCATTTTGTGGGGTTCATGTCATCATTAAAATAATTTGATAAGATCTTAACAGTTCTGCTAGTTTGAGCTAGTATGCATATTGAAAAGTAATAAAGCATTATTATCGCTTAAAGTAGAATTTAGACAGTGTCTGCATTTTGATCAAAAACATTGTTTTATTCTGTGCCATTAGGTACAAGTAAATTGCGAAAGCTATGGCTACGTAATAAGCACTTGTTTTCCTTTGCTCTGTGGCCATAACAAGACCCCTGGCAAAATACTTAAGCCTGTGTACAATGAAAGGACGAGCTAGTATTGGAAGAGTTTAAAAAAACACTGTGGTCTGTTTGCATATTTATAAAAGCGATTTGCGAGCTAGCTTTCTCATCGCTGGTAGTTTTGACACCTGTGGTCTGGACTGATAGACTGACTCTGGCCACGACCGGCGCCTCTCTGGGCCGTGCACTCGGAGTAACCTGGCCGCGGAGCAGTCACAGCGGCCCCTGGCGGTGGGCCGAGCGAGCCGGCGCTCCTGCCTGAACTGACGACTCCTGGAACAAACCGCTTATGGGGACGGGACAGCCCGAAAACGTATTTTTTAGATTCTGAAACACAATACCAAGAATATTATCACATGAATTAGAGTGAGATTTTCTCAGATGCGCTGAGTGAGCGTATTTCGAGCGCGCAGTGACCTGCACCAATGCGTGCGGGCCGCCGGCCCCGCGGGCCTTCCCTTCCCCGCGCTCAGGGAGCCCGCGCCCGAGGAGGGCAGGGGGCTTCTTTTGCGTGAGCAGCTTTGTCTTAAGTTGGAAACCAAAGCGGAACCTGCCCTCGCGCATAAGGAAAGTGGCTGATAAGTTGCGCAGGCGTCTGCCCCAGAGATGGCACGTTCCCGACAGTGAACCTTGGCCGCCCGCGAGGCCTGGTCTCAGGTGCCTCCCCCGCTGGCCGCCCGCGAGGCCTGGCCTCAGGTGCCTCCCCCGCTGGCCGCCCGCGAGGCCTGGTCTCAGGTGTGTCTCCCCCGCAGCCGGGCTGCTGACAACTGATCCACGTGTCCGCGAGCGCAAGAAGCCGGGCCAGGAGGGAGCGCGCCGCAAGTTCACCTGGAAGAAGCGCTGAGACCCGCGTCAGCCGCGAGTAGTGGGCGATTTATGTTTAAAGGCTACTTTGCAAAGGTTACCTTACAAAAATAAAACAAAATGATGTTTAGCTTCAGTCTGCTGCTTTATTTTTTTAACTTTTTCATAAGATAGTTTTAAAAGCATAAATGCACAGAATCTTGGCAACTGGACCCGAGGGGACATTGAGCAAAATCCTGTCAAGTAACCTCACTTTGTAGACAGGAAGGCCCAGCCCCCAAAGCCTAAGTGTAAGCTGCATTGCTAATTTCTGGTGGAACTGGACCTGAACTCATTCCTCCTGATTCTGTTGTTTGCACACCTGGCAGTTACCACCACTTTCACCTAGAGAGAGGAGAGAGCTCCTTCAGGAGCAGGAGGTAAGTTGAGGGCCTTTGTCAGGGACTCCGGGGGAGCTGCAGAGGCTGAGCTGAGGAGAAGCTGATTCAGACACAGCCAGGTTTCCCCACCCCCACCCCTGGCAGCTGCTGCCATCCTCTCGGTTTTTTTTTTGTTTTTTGTGGGGTTTTTTACATTCTACATATAATTGATACCATGCAGGTTTTGTCTTTCTCTGTCTTATTTCACTTAGCGTAATACCCTCCAAGTTGGGTACAAACTTTCAGTTGTAAGGTGAATTAACTCTGAGGATCTGTGGTTAATACATCATATCATTGAAATTTGTTAACAGGGTAGATCTTTAACAGTTCTCATAAAAAATAAAGATAACTATGAAATGAGGGCTGTGTGATTAACTTGATGGTGGGACTCTTCACAATTCATACATGTGTCAAATTATCACGCTGTACACTTTAAATATATTACCATTTTATTTGTTAATTATCCTTCAGTAAGGCTGGGAAAAAAGACATTGAACCATGCCACTGAGACAGGGTCATTATGAAGACAGTTGTGGGCCATGTGACTGGAAGAGCAGGTTCTGGGTGAGGCAGGAGCAGTTATGAGAGCCCAGTGATGAGGTCATCGATGAGGTCAGCAGCTGAGAGCCCAGTGATGAGGTCAGCAGCTGAGAGAGCCCTGTGATGAGGTCAGCAGCTGAGAGAGCCCAGTGATGAGGTCAGCAGCTGTGAGAGCCCAGTGATAAGGTCAGCAGCTGTGAGAGCTCAGTGATGAGGTCAGCAGCTGAGAGAGCCCAGTGTGAGGTCAGCAGCTGAGAGAGCCCAGTGTGAGGTCAGTGATGAGGTCAGCATAGGGTGACCACAACACCTGCATACCCACTAGCCACAGCCTCCACCTCTAGCCTCAGTGTAGCTACTCCACAGTGACCTGGTTTGAATGTAAGTTATGGCCATGTGTAGCTTTAGGAGATCTGTGAAATGTTGAAATGCTTTCCAAAGTTTTCCAAAGTTATTCTGGGATCTGTCAATTCGTTGCTTTCACAGGTGCCAGCAAGAGTCCATCCCTATGATAGTAAGAACCACTAGCATAGCCCAGCCAGGTGTGGCTCAGTGGTTGAGCATCGACCTAGGATCCAGGAGATTGGGGTTCGATTCCCTGTCAGCGCACATGCCCGGGTTGCCGGCTCTATTCCTTGTCGGGGGCGTGCAGGAGGCAGCCGATCAATGATGATTCTCTTATCATTGATGTTTCTATTTCTCTCACTTCCTCTCTCTGAAATCAATAAAGATATATATATATGTATGTATTTTTTTAAAAACCACTGGCATAGGAGAGTTTTTTACTTTTTTTAAGGAAATAAACATGGCCTTTGTGTTCAACACTGAATCCAGCAGGTGGAACAGAGCAGGTCTTGGTAGGATGCTACGGTGAGGGCTGCTGGGAGCAGGCGGTCAAGGGTATTGGTAATGGTCTTCATCTGAGTGTCCACTTCGTTATCCCTTCCACCTGTGGTACATACGATTTTTATTATGTGCTGTTAGATAAAAGGCCATCCTTCGGACCACATGGAGGTTTCAGAACACAGCCTCTGGAGGTCATGTGACCTTGGGCAGGCTGACCTCGTATAATCGTGACTGCTCGTGTGAAGTGGGGTGAAGGGCAGTGCCCCTCCCAGGACGCTGGTGTTCCATAAAGTCCATGTGAGCAACAGCCACAGGAAGTGTTCCGTAAGTATGGGTTTAGATTCTCAAAAAATTTCTTCTTGACCTATCTCATTTGGTTAAACAAAAGTAGACAGTGATCCAGGAGTTTGGAAGAGGGAAGGCATAAACAGTGGCGTAAAGAGGTGGTTTTCTTGAAAATGAGTGGCAGTCAATCCATGTTTCACCTCTTCACGTAGCACTAGGTTCATTGACTTGACTGCAGAAAAACAAAGCATGATGTTTATGTTGGAGAAATTCTCCATAGACCAAGTGTTTCCCTGTCTGTTAGAATATGCAGGCTGGACTCGGTTCAGGACGCCCCACATTGAGTGTGTCCACCTCTCCCAAAGCCGTCAGATAGGCACAGCCAGTGAGGAGCTCAGGCGCAACAAAGAATGGTCAGTGTGCCGTCCGTTACAGGTACTGGGGTACAGTGCCGCTAACAGGCTGTAAGACATCCCACACACCTAGCAGGCAAGGAACCATGCAAACAGAAGTCCTTGCTCAGTCGTCTCAGTTGCCACCTCTGGTGAGGAACTGGGCTACAGAACGTTTTCTATTCTAAGCCTTTGGTTAAAACACAACAAACACATTACTAAAAATTGAAAGTAATCTTTGAACACCATGCTGTAAAAACTACTGACTTCAGCACCGAACAAAAGCTTATCAAAGGATTTTCTCTAGCATTTCGCAGAAAATATAAATTACTACCGAAGTGCAAGCTCTAGTACTTTTCCTTCAACACAAGCCATTAGCTTTCTAAACTAAATAATAAAGTTACTGTTATATCAGAAAGAAAGGAACCGTAGGTAGAATTAGGTATCCTACTAGAATTAGAAGACAAAGGTCACAACCTGGAGTGAAGGCTTGTGTTGACCCTGGGTTTCTGCCTCAACAGCTGGGGCCTTCTGACTGGAGGGGGTGCCCTGCCCAGGGTTGGTAGGTTCCTGGATGGAGGCCTGCCAACATGCCTCCACAAACACACCCCCAATGCACTCTCCACACCCCACACTGCCCCTGTCGTCGGGCTCCCACACTCAGGCCACCATACAATTGCTCTAATCACCTCCAGGCCGGATCCCAGACAACTTAGGACAGCCTCTGTAGCCCGGAGCCCACTGACATGACACACCAGCCAGTCCTGGGCCTGCTCGCCCTCCCTGGTGCACCCAGTCCCTGGAACCACAGGAGAGGCCCTTGCCTGAGTTCCACTTGCTCCCTCTGCCTCCTGACCTCCCTGGTGCTGCCTCGTGGGGCCCTGCATAGTGTGGGGGCCCCTCAACTGTGAGGACCTCTTTTCACTGATCCCTAGGCCTCACCAGACCTGAATAACAAAGCCTGCGTTTAAACGAGGCCTCGGTCTGGGTTAGTGCCTCTCGTTACTTGATTTTTAGTCGTCAAACCTTTACCAAGGTTATAAACAACCAGACGATTCGCTTCTAGGAATTTTTTTTTAATCCTTACCCAAGGATATGTTTTTATTGATTTTAGAGAGAGAAAAAAAACATTGGTCAGTTGCCTCCCACACATGCCCTGACCAGCGATGGAACCGGAGACCTTGGGTGTGCAGGACGGTGCTCCAACCAACTGAGTCACCTGGCCAGGGCCTGGGAGGTTTTTTTAAGGAAGGGAGGAGAGCCTTTTATTAGAGTGGTAAAATCATGCTGCTTTTCATTCATTCACTGCTGCTTAAGCTTTAACAAAAGTTAGGACCACTCTTGGATGGTCTATGAAAGCTGTTCGGGAGAACTCCAAATGTACCCCTTCCATTTCCCAGGACTTAGCTGCACGACTAGGCAAGACTGGAGCCTGTCCGGGGGCCCAGCTTCGGCAGAACGAGGCTAACACCAGCCCCTCCATGACCAGCCGCACGCATGCCCTCCCCACCCGGACACGTTGCTGCTTCGTGGAGCAAACTGCTCTCGCAGCATCCCCACTATGAGGTTGAATTTCTTAATTGCAGAATACTGCTTGTTCAAAGTGAGGGAGGAGGTGGCGGGAGGTATGTTTCACGGTGCTGGTCAAAAAAAGGAAGCTGGATGTGCATGTCAGGCGGTGGCTGCATTAAATTGCACGAGGGCTGTCTTGGCTGCAGTTGCAGAAGCCCAGGACTTGGACTGTTTTCAAACTGAAAAGGGGATTCCTGGGGTGGCTGTGTGACCTACTGAGGGGAGGGCTGCACAGGCGCCCTGCAGGAACGAGCGGCGCCTGGGGATCATGGAGGAGATGCTCCCGGAACCCGGAGCCTCTACTCCTTCCCTGTACGCAGGTCTGTGGCTTCTGCCCAGCAGGAAACTCCCCATCGGCTCCCACGCTTCACAGCCCACACCTCTCAGGGTTCTTCCAAAGGTGCCAGGAATTCACTCCTGTCTGTCTTGAACTGTCCCTGGACAGCTGGGATCCGACTGGAGGTGTAGCAGCTGCCATGGCAACCAGGTGGCCGACCTGTTACCCAGGCACCTCCTCCAGCTCCGCTGCTCCTTCACTGTCCCTCTGCCCACGACCCTCAGACCCACCCGGAGGCCTGGCCCCGCGTCCCCAGCTCCTCCCTCCTCTGTGCCCACAGCGCTGGCCCCGTGCCTCTGCTCCAGCGCTCAGCAAGAGGAGTTGGTTATTGGTGGCCTTTCCTCCATCAGGCAGGGAGAGGGTCCTGCTCCTCTTGATGCCCCAGTGCTAGGCACACAGAAAGCACAGGGATAAATACTTGCCACACAGTTGAAGGTCACTGCCAATTCCTCACCCAGGGTCCAGGTAAGTCAGAAGGTGGGGTCTGCCTGCCCACCTGCTGCGGTCTGGGTTCTTCTCTCCGCTGTCGATA